AGTTATTCATTAAGAATCCGCTAGAGGCCCACCTAACTAACGCTGTGGATGTTGCATACCGATAATTATAATCGTCTTTTTAGTAGACGACTTTTCCATCAATGTTAATAGAATTTACTCGCATCTCAATAAGACATCAGGCATCTTGATCCCATATGCTGTCACAAAATAACAAAGATTAATAATATGGATGCTTACAGTTAATCTCTCCGATTAAAATACTACTAATTTGTTTCATTCTACGTTCGCATTCCTATTTGCCGATAGCCTTCCTTTCTTATTCACCACTTTTGGCTTTAACTGATGTCGCATAAAATAGCTGTTGAAATTTTCCCATGATCTTACAGGATATCTGCCTATTCCTAATTTAGAATAATAATAATGCAAGTATCAATTTGTCACAGCTAGACTAGTTACGGCAAAATAAAGAAAATTGACAAGTTAGCACTGACTTTTAATCTACAACGGCAAAGATAATTTATACTTCACTAATATTAATACAATCCATGCTTGAATTGAAATAAATAATAGGGTAAACATATCCAATAGAAGGACATGCAACCTTTATTGGTTAGTCACATAATCTATAAGAATATTATGTCAATAATATTCTGTCCGAGACAAATTCTATGATAAAATAAATATCATGTTGATTAAAGGTAAATAGTCTACCTCAGAGTATTTCACCGAATTTTTTCTGTAGCTCAAGTAGTATGATAATCATTTGGTCTAGTTTTGGTCATGAAACAGACTAAAGTTTACCGAAAGTCTAAAAGGATCGGGCCCATCAAGAAACGCTTGTCTATAGAATTGTATTTATAGTCAATAGAATTTCCGTACTGGATCAGAGTCGAGATTCAAATTAAATGAAGGATATTACTTGCCATCAATTAATAAAATCTCTTCGAAACTGTTACCAAATATCATAGTTAGGAAAGGGTCCTAGATAAGAGTTATTTATCGTAAAAGTAACCTATATGGTTGAATATTTAGTCTGCAGTTTGCTAACACCGCCATGACTGATGATCGAACCTTAGCTCTCAGCGTTATTTATAATTGAAGTGCAATTCATTAAAACGGCATAATTAATTAATCAAGCAATTAATTAATTAGTAGCAATATTGCTACTCATCATTTCATGCGGACCAATAGGCTGATTACGTGATGATATTGCTCACTTATCTCTTCAGTCAGTACCGGAAACTCATAGTTTATTTCCGCCGTATTTAAAATCGTTGCTATATCTAGAGCTGATTTCGTCCAATTTCTATGAATATAAATATCACTTCGTACCACTAGAAAACTGATGAAGTAACTAACAAAAAATACAACTTTTGATTAATTAGTACTTGCATTAGCGGGCTATAACAGCTTCTCCATTTTGTCATTGTAATTATCTATCGGCAAAAAACAGTAATAAGAATGACAAGGTAGGATGACAAAATATTGATTGGCTAGCAATTTAGCATCCTGATCATTTTGATAACTCTACGTTAGCCCACTGTCTTTCATTTAAAATGGACAGCTGTCTGTCGGCTACAGGATATTTCTATTGAAATAAGCTGGTGTTATAATTTACAACCAGCCATGAAAGTGGATCAGAGTATTGATCGATCCAATGTTATCCGCATGGAGTTAACCCGATCTAGATAAAATTGCGCTCATCTATAAAATAAACATTCGAAGAACTTAAGATTGTAGATTATTCCTGAGATCCTGGGTTTCGAATAGAGCACATCAGTGCTGCTATCACTCTTATTTGAGTGAGACGATATAATTTGCAGCCTATGTATGGATCCGACTTACCCATGTGAAAAGTAAAGCGCTTATCTCTTGCCTATACAATAAATTGAATCAAACTAGATGCTGTATGTGCGGTCAACCTTTCTAGTCAAATTCAAGTCAACGGTAAATGTGCCCTTAAAATCTGTAGATCTCAAATTCAGTTCCAACTTACTACTGTATTACAATACTGTTCTCATCTTCTAAACTAATGATAAATTCTAATTGAAATGATGGTAATAGTATCGTTATCAAAATGATAACAGGCCAAATCAATCACAAGCTGAAAACGAACTGAGCTAAAAAATACTTAAATTTGCTCTTAATTAATATCCTTTGATAATGTTACCGACCTCAGGTTCAATAGATCATAGTCATGCCAGTATCTATTTAATATGAACACAGACGTTATTTAAATCAACTAAATTCCATTAAGATCAATATCACTGCACTGCTTGCCAGTTAGTAAAGTTAAATAATATCCTTCTCGCCCTTTAGAAACAATTGTTAACTCCTATCGGCCGTATAAGATGACCGGATTCTCATTTTTTAGACACTGAATCATTGTTAATTCAATTTGATCCGGTAAAACTGTAATTTTTGGACCTTTCCCTAATAGATTGGAGGCTAACGTCGTCCACTACCTTACATATTGACTATGTATTCATGTGGACCACATTAAAGTGACAAAACTTTCATCGTTTTAACGTCTATTCGAGTCGACCCAGGACAAATTGCATATTGATGACCTCATTTCAATAGATTTCGAGACTGTAAATTCGATCGTGTCGTCATTGATTGCTTAGCCAACAGACATGGTCAATTTATCGTTTGTCTATGTTGTCATTTCTTATTAACAGTTTCTTTCTAACCTTTTGATCGACGGCAATATATACGTCAGTAATGCTTGACGTTAACGGTCTAAGTCCAGTACTTGATATTTTCTCTTGTCACGTAAATGCGTTCAACCATACGTCAATGATGAGTAAATCGACAGCCTACAATTGATTTACATGATAATGCCATTTCAGCTATTGAAATTTAACATCTCCGTGCCATCCTGTGGTAATGTATATGCAGCGTCGAGAAGAAACAATAGACATTGTTAACAATGAATGCACTAATGTCGATACTCTATTCTCTGCAAATAATCTATTAACCACATCAAAAGTAGACAGTAGCAAACACACTATGTAAACAGGCCTGTCATGGATTGTATTCATGGGCTATTTTCCCCCTTTATCTATTAGCCAACATGAAAAAATCGATTTAATCAAGTCTGAAGGTTGAAAAAGTGTTAAATTGCAAATTACACATAAAATGATTTTTCTTCTTCTTCTCCGGCTACGACGATGATGATGATAAAAATTTGATATTTGTACAATCTTCAATCCATTACCATTACTCATTGCCTAGATATTTCTTGTATCACCTGCCGCACTGAAAAGTTGAAGATAATACATCTTTTTATATAGCAATTTTAAATGAAATGTATTGATGATGACAAAAAATTACTATGGAGCTATTTTGTTGTTGTCAAACAATAAATAATCATTCTTATTGATTAATTACTATCAATCAAGCTAAAACTGCCTTTGAATGTGTTATTGGCAACGTTACTCTCGTTACTGGGCTTGGGCTAGTGTTGAAAACGCGTCTCGACATTATTTTTAACCATCGTTGTTTTCATCACATCCTATTCTACTCTCCAACTGCTCATCACTGGCATCCTTGCTGGTCAAGCACTTTTTGAAATTGATCGATTCCATCTAGACTAATTAATTAATTATAATTATACCTAATCAAAAACAGATATTGGCTTTCATATTACTATCATCCTCTCTCTTCATAAAAAATCATTCAAGAATACAACCTTTTCCATTTTTCCTGTAACAAGGAAATCCAGGTAGGAAACAATTCGACGTAACAATTTCAACGGTTGTTTTGAACTCCATTTCTTTCCAATTAGGCACGCGACATCATCGTGCAAAGCAGTCACAAGTACTGGTGATTAGTAATTCTCTTTTTCACCGTCGACTTAAAGACATCAACAACCAGTCAAATTTTGATCGTTAAGGTAAGAATCCCTCGCTTTTTCACTTAAATTTTAGCCATCTTTCTACGCTTCATACTGTATATACGGTTAGTTTAGTCCTTCTCGCTTTTGCGCCGATAGATGCTAAACGCGGTAAACAGATCTTAAGCAGTTTATTTTACAGTCAAGCTTAACTTTTATTTCTCTTTTCCTTTCTCTCTGATAACTGTGGTAGGTACGCATATCACTCTGCTGGTGGTCTTGAACGCTTCAAACGGAAAAGTAGGAAAAATTGAAAAGTTTCATTAATTTGAAAAACAAATTACAATCCGTTGTTAATATTGTCTTCCTGCCATCACTGGATACATTTTTCTTTCATTAATCAATCCTTCCAACTAGGTATAAATTATTGACATCGATTCTTATAATTTTTTCAGACTCTGTCCTTAGTAATGGATTGATCACTTATTTTTGCATTTCAAAATAATATTACCAGTGTCAGGAGTTGCTAACCTATGATAACGATCCTTTTCTTCTTTTTTTATCCTGCAGCTTAAGTTGAGCCTATTGGTAGTCCCATTCGTAACGATTTTAAAGTTGAATCAATTCCTACCATCACCAAACCGAAAACGACTTCTTCTTTTCTCCAATCAAATTGATGAAGATATTTGAAATAATTTAGAACTTTTTTCCATTTGTAACTGACTCGTACAAACGGATAAATACCATCCATATTTATCAAACAAAGTCTTTACAAATTCTTAATCCATACTAGATAGTCAACAATTAAAACTTTCTGTCTAAACAGTTCAAGCGCTACTATTACAATCTCAATTATCTTGATCGGCCTTTTCAACTAATTCCATTCTTGAAGTACAGTAATATATATTGTCTTATTGAGCAGTACATTCTTCTCTGTCACAAAATAATCCAAAAATTGGCAATACAGTTATCTCTGCTTACAAACCTTTCTAGATTTCCATAAGCAGTTTTTTTTAACCCGATATTGATTGGTTTCTTTCTCATTGCTTTATCGGGCATCTAAATTAACAATATGAAATTAATAACAACCATCTCCCTCTTGTTTTTAACAACTACGGTCATCAATGCAATCACTGCTCCTACTATAATCATACAGCCGGTCGATTTCATCAATGAAAACGCAATATCTCGTACGGGTAGCGATAATCTTGTCGTCCCCTGCGAAGCTACCGGAACTGGAACTATTTCTTATGTATGGCAACATAACGGTAAAAATATCCAATACGATGCTCGAATTAAGCTTAGCGGTGGTAATTTAACATTTACCGGTATCATTCCAGCGGATGCTGGCAAATATACCTGCTTAGCTAGTAATCTCTATGGTACAAGTATTAGCCGTGAAGCAACACTTCAAGTACGTATATTAGAAAAGCTTGGTGTTGCCGCCGAAGTATTCACTATAGATATTAACGGTAACGCTCGATTGCGATGCCAAATCTCGGAAAAAAACTTACCACGACCTAATGTAATTTATTGGACTGATGCCAACAACGTTAGAGTGACTGAAACGAATAGTATAGCTCAGACGGTCTACGCTGGCGATTTGATCTTCATTGCTGGTTGGCCAAATAATACTGGATCCTATCAATGTACTGTTAAATGGACTTCAAATAACCCTAATACAGGATCTTCAGAAGAAACCAAATATGTAGGAACATTTCAATATGTCAATTTTACAACAAACACAGCGACAACGGTAACTCCTAAAATTGCAGTCGCACCTAATGCACCTGTCGCTCTTCTTGGTCAAGCTCGAGTTGTTTTGGAGTGTATAGCAACGGGTTATCCGGTACCTAATATTCGATGGCAAAAAAAATCAGGTACATTGCCTATTAATCGCTATGCTATCGAAAAATTTGGTCGCCATCTTGTAATTAAAAATATTCAAACAGTCGATGCGGGTGATTATCAATGTACGGCCATTTCAGGGAGTAGCCAAGTTACAGCTACCACGACACTCAAAGTTACAATCGATTCACGATGGATAACGCCAATCACTGATACTAATCAACCTGTCGAATCAGATTTCGTTTGGCCTTGCTCAGTTAGCGGATCGAATATCAAATATAGATGGTATATGAATGGTCAACAAATCGTCGCAAGCTCTAAATATGTTCTAAATTCTAATGGATCGTTAACCATACGTAATCTCGCTAGGGAAGATACAAAGGTCTATACTTGTGTCGGCTATAATGACCATTCAAACGTTGCTTCATCTGGTTATCTTAATGTCACAGTTGCAGCACCAGTTTTCACCGAAAAACCTTATACACAAACCACATTGTTTCGAGGACAAACTTCCACTATACGTTGCACAGTTACTGGCGGCCCTCGACCGGTAATGACCTATACAAGAAATGGAGGATTTGTGGATACATTATTATATAACAAATATACAGTCTTGCTAAATGGTAATTTAATTATTCACAACGTAGACGATAACGATGCCGGAACTTACATGTGCACTGCAAGAAATCGATATGGAAGTAGTAATGTATCCGGCATTGCCATCGTGGTCAGTGCTACAGTCTTTTCGAAACCATTAGTTAAGACTTCTGTCCGACGACCCCAAAATTTCAGCATATCTTGTGCAGTTACGAAAGCGGTAAACTATAATGTCGCTCTGTATTGGCAAAGAAACAATGTCAATATTACTACAAGTCGAGCTACCATTACAACGTCTGGTTTAACCACAACATTAACTTATGTTAATACAACATTAACTGATACAGGTACATTTTCATGTGTAGCTGCGACTTTTGTACCATTTGTTGGTTATGTGCCTCAATCTTCATCAGCCTTGTTGACGGTTAATGATGCACCAGATCCTCCATTTAGTTTTACTTACAGTCAGCTAATATCCTCGGCTGTGGTATTATCATGGTTACCTGGCAGTCCGAACAACAGCCCATTATTGAGATTTACAATTTTATATCGGGTCAATAGTGTCGATGCGTGGAGAATCGCCCAAGATTATATCCCAGTATCAACCACATTCCGTCGAGTTACTTTATCACCTTTTAATACTTATCGCTTTAAAGTAGTAGCCGTCAATGCAGTTGGCACAAGTAAAGATAGCGCACATTTAGTATTTTCGACATCTGGAGCTAGACCTTCTTATGCTCCTGGCGAATTTCGAGCTAATGGAGTAGCATCTGATCCAACTGCGATCGATATTAGTTTCAAGCCATTATCACGCGAAGAGCAAAATGATGCTGGTATTGGTTATAAGCTATATTATCGAACATCAGTGTCGACATCGACTTGGGTAACTCTGGATATAAATACTGGAGGTTCATATCGATTAACTGGCCTCCTTCAAAGCACTACTTACGAATTACAGTTGCAACCATTCAATAACGCTGGATTAGGAATAGCATCAACTCCTGTCATTAAGGCTACTACTGGTAGTTCACCACCTACTGCAGCACCTACAAGCATTAAAGCTTACGTTATCAGTACTAGTACAGTCAAAATAACGTGGAATAAGATTTCTAGCGTTGCAACAACAAGAGCAACGGCAGTTGGATATAGGGTAAGTTGATTGATCAACAGAGAAGTCTTTGTAATGATATTTGCAAGAAAAATAGAGTGTATAATTACTTCAGTTAAGATATAAGCAACATTCATTTCAACTAGACAATAACCCGTTCTATTGAACGAAATGCTTGAGTTTACTGCATGCGATAGTAAATAACTAGATAACATATCTTAGGGTACAATATATATTATATAATCACCCTAAATCAGTGCTTCGCTGTAGATCGTGATATCGATACTTGAGGCATCGATTTAAAATTCAATTTTTTTCTAACAATATCATCATCTACTGTCATTGAATCATTCATTATTAAATTCACTGCTTAATACTGTAAATACAGTAGCATCGACAAGATATAACACAAAGTCAATTCTATTAATAAAATCTTCTCTTCTGTTACCAACAGATCTCATATTGGATATATGATAACTCAATTGCTAACACTAGCACATTTGGGGATATTAATACGGCTACTATCGAAGGATTATCAGCGTATTTTACTTACAGTTTTAGAATTAACGCATATACTTCAGGTGGAGATGGACCTTTCTCTTCTACTATTACCGCCTATACCAATAATCCTGTACCAGGTAAAATTCTAAATAGATAAACAAGATCAATTTGCATCTTATCTAAGTAATATGCAATAAAGAAAAATCTTAACGAAGGAGAAAGAGACGAATGCAATGGATATTCAATTCAAATATTGTTGCTTATCATGAATAGTTAATATTAAAATAATCTACGATATCTAGGACTTTACGGTACTATAGATATCGGTCATGTATAAAGTTATCCAATCGTAGCTACAAAGATTTTATTGAATTACTAACCTGCATTACAACTTATTCTTTTAGATGCAGTTACGGGCCTAAAAGTTACGGAATCAGTTAAAAGTCAGGTTGTTGTTCAATGGGTTGCACCAGCAATAGCTAACGGAATTACTCAATATCAAATTCAATATGCGGTTTTAAATGCTTCAGGCATTGCAGGCCCATATTCAACCTATAATACTGTCAATGCTGAAACTACATTTACTTTCAATAATATGGCAGCAGGCAATTACATCTTTACTGTAACACCTAAAAATGCCAACGGTTATGGTGTACCTAGCGATATTCGCAGTCCGGTAAATGGCTTAGGACCTGCTGCACCAACCCTATTCAAAGTTGTTAGCATTGAACAAACTGCCATTGATTTTGAATGGGTAGCAAGTGAAAATCCAACGAACGGATTTATTATTCAGTATAGAGTTGCAACATCACAAGGTGCTTTTGTCAATGCTAGCACTACCATGATAGCAATATCAGTACGTCGGTATAAAGTGACTGGGTTACTTGCAGCGACTTCCTACATCTGCCATGTTATCGCTATTAGTAACAATATTCTCAGCTTACCTAGTAATCAAGTTAACGCTACTACAGCTGCGATACCAGGAGCACAAACGCCGTTCTATCAAGAAGTTTGGTTTATAGCTTTAGTTAGCGCGTCAGGAATTTTGTTGGTCTTTTTAGTTCTAGTCTGCTTTATTCGATCTGATAGAAAGAAAAAAAATGGCGGTCGCTACTTTACCCCTTCAGATAATGAAAAGAAACCTGATGTACCACCACTACCTACTGATGAACCAGAAGAAGAAGTTAAGAGGCCTCCCTTACCAGAAGATAATCACCATACCGAAGACAACTTTAGACACAGTGATGTTGAAGTAGATAGCGTTGATAGCATGGATCAATATGCTGATTTACCCCATTTATCCAAATTCAACGAAGATGGTTCATTTATCAACGCATATGGTGGATTAAGCAAAAGAAATAGTACTACCGACACAACATCGTTTATGGGCAACTACAGTGAAGCCAGATTTGATGGAAATGCTTCATTCCATGGCGGTAGTTATGCCCCAACATTACGCAGTAGTTATCCAGGAAGTCCAGCCAATACCATTAATCCCAATCAATCAGCATTTTCCACTTTTGTATAGACATCATCAGGAATATTTACAAATGATGCTATACGATTATTTACCTTAATTATTAATAATAATCATACATTGAAAACTTTATACCTTCCTTCGTCTACTAATATAACAACAAGACCTACAGTAGTTTAATCAATGACTTGCCAAAAGCTAGTCCCAACGCACTGGACCCTAATTTAAGTTATTGAACACCTGGTAGACTTGAAAAGAAACTACTTTTCTGCTTGAGCACGTATGAACCATGAAATGCATACGCGTACATTGCTATTATCTTTATAGTAGCTTCGATATTTTCTTTCCCTACTATTTCAAATTGATATGTGTATAATAACTTATCTTTCTTAACTTGCATATTAAATATTGATAAAATGTGATAATAATAACTTTATATGAGCTGCGACACAATTCATTTCTAATGCTATATGATCTCATCCTTGAAGGTGGGACTTTCTTAATTATTTCTGAATTGAGCTATTCAAGAACAATTTTTCTATGGTTCATTGCAATTTGAACAATCTCTTCAATGTGTCTTTACTATTATTCATACGTCACTGTGATTCAAACTGATGGTAACGTTTAAGGTGGACATTGTTGCATTAATTAATGTCTTATGTTGTTTTTAACTGGACATACATTATTATTTAAGTTACTAATGATAATTTACTTACGCCTAGAACTTGATTCATTAAGATAGCATAACGCGTACAGAATGTTTAGGTTACTTAAATCGCTTATTGATGAAGAACTATGTTACCTTTCATATTATCCTTTCTACGATAATTTAGATTAACGTGTGTCATGATTCTTGTACTCCTTTGCCCTCGTCTCAGATATTGTCATTTTCTTATATTTCTTAGTAGCTTCTTGATATGTATACTTGCAACAATGCTATCATTGTTAATTTATTTATGTACATCACTTGTATTAGTGTTGGTATTTTTACATTGCAACTATTTAGCATTGGCATATTTTATTATTGCTTGCCCTATCGCAAATCAATACGATCTACGATAGCGATTTGTATTTGCCGTCAATGTATGTCCAATTTGTGAAGTCTTATCAAAATAAACTAAATTTTTCCTACCTTGCAAATATCATGTTTCTATTCGCTTACTTGGTATCTTCTTCAATCAAAGACTTCTACTTTGCATAAAGAGCTGTCTACCTTCTTAGCCTATACTGTTTCATTTGTGCAATCTACTTTGTGAATTCAATATTACGAGTATATTCTCATAATTTCCGTCCTTTTCATATTCTATTCTACAGCGCATCTATAGAGTAGAAAATTCACTTTTTGTGCAAATAGCCGTCTAACTTATTAATACATTATTATATATGTACAGTCTATTTTTTTAATGTTATATTCTCTTATCCTTCATCTTCTTCTTATTTTATTCTACTGGGTATCCATTGACTAGGAAAGATTTAGTAATCTATAGTACATCTATGCTCTCGGACAGTACAGTCGATATACACTATTGCACTCCTAGAGACTAATTTTGGAATGGTACAACCAAAAATTGGGCTGTACTCTCCAATATAGAATTTAATGTTAATAATTTAATTAATACCAACCCATCAGTAACGCGAGGAGTTTTTGGGGACTAGTACATAATAAGAAAGTAGACAGCCATACGCGCAAAAGGCACTTATCCGAGAACATAGATGACCATAGATTATGAAATCCAACCAAATCGATGAGGCGTTGCAGTAAAAACGAAAGGGACTGACTAAAAATTGAAGAATATAGCATTTAAATATGAGATATTATAAAGTGTAATAGTTTATACCAACGATACATTACCAAATCCTATCAAGTCCATGGCTACTAATAGAAAGTGAAAGGGCAGAAAAATAGGAGAATGAAAGATTCAATAACTAGACTGTACAAATACAACAATGTCTGCTTTGATTTGCAAATTGTCGTTAACAGGTAAACATGCAAAAGCAAATGTCCGAGAGTGTTGATATAGCATAGATTACTAAATCCTACCGAGTACTTGGACGCTCTGTAGAATTGAATATGAAGAGAACAGGAAATAGGAGATAATGCTAGTGTATTCTACGTCTTTCTTCCTCTTCATTTCGATTCTACAAGGCATTCGCAGACTATCGCAGACTATAGAGTTTAATATAAAATCGTTGAATCTTATTTCTTCCGACTTTCCGCTTTATAAGACCTGTCCTAGCTGAAGCCTACCAGTGATTAGTATTCATCATTAGCTTTATAATCGATATCTCTCCATACTTTGACCATTTAATCTTTAATGGTCAACTATTAACTACTTCGCACGCACTTCTACTCTAATATCTATCTATGCTTTGACCATTTTTTTTTACCAGTATAACTCTCTACTTTGTTGGATGGAGTTCAATCGCTTACAAGGAATATTAAATTTTATTTTTGAAACTACTAACCTAAAAGATAGCGCTGACTAGCCCTCTATAGTGAAATTACATACCTCCCTTCAATTTGAATACTATCGACGAAGATAGGCAGCCGATCGATGTTGAATTTAATAGTTTAAATTACTACTTGGCCACCGATTGATATCATTTCTAACAG